ACAGTGAAAAAATGACTAATTTATAAAGAATAAAAATAAATGATATTTAGAATGTGACAAAACTTTTGAGGTAGTATCTGCATTTTATATCAACAATAAACCAGAATTTTTATTTACACACACATACACTATTGTAGTACTTGATAAGGCAGCAATGAAGGCCAAGGAAAGATACTCAAATGCCAGGTTGTATCATGCAGGTAATTTTTTCCCCTGTTCTAGGGAAACAAAAGCTGGATTTGAAGTGTTTAGAATCAGTACTGATGCTTTTGAATTTTGATGTCAGATTAGACTCCTGAGAATTGCAATGGATAGTGAGGAAAACAAATGGATCATACACAAAATCTCTACAATAGAGAGCTCTCATTTGAGGCACAAATAACCATACTGAAATTATCAGCTATTAGATACTTCCATGCAATGATCTATATCTCTTAAGAAACCTGTAACACTGAGATAGGAGGAAGGCCAACCTGCAGCAAGAGCTTGATTACAGTGGGAATTGGAAGTCCTGAAGAATCAGGTTCACAACAAATCATCCTGAAGATCTTTGTGATCAAAACTGACTCTAACATATAACCAAAATAATGAACTTAATAATCACCAAATTATTTGCAATGTGTTTTTAAATAAATAAATGTTTCCAGTATGAATTTTAACAATTTTAATGAATCTTCTAATATTTATTTTCTTTGTATATGTTTCCAAAAAAAATGACGGCCAAAGAAATGTTAAAATTATACAGCTGCTGATATCAATACTGTTCACACTATGGTAGACTTGTTCTACTTCTGCAGAATCTTTAAGCTTTGTTTGTAATATTAATGGTTGATTCTATGGTATTAAGATGCTTTTTCATTTTTTATTCAGCTACCTTCAGATTGTATGTCTTCAAGACTGTTCTGTATGTTCGTTATTTCAGTAGTAGCTTTCATTATTTCATTTTCTATACTGATTACCTTTGTGATCATGTCTTCTTTTTTTATCTCTGCGGCAACAAGCTCACTTGATAGTCTAAGAATGGAATAAATAGCATTTTCAATTATTGGTAAGTAAGTCTTGCATTCCTGCAGTTTGTGTTCAGAAAATACAAGTTTCTGGTACAGATCATTACTTCTGGCCAAAATACTGTCGTGCTCTTCTTTTAATAATTCAGCTGTGTTTTTATCCAACTGTAGCTGCTGTTCAATCCTTTGCAGTTCATTTTCCTCTTGCCTATTTAATGTTTTAAGATTCACTATTGTACTGTCTTCTAGATCTTTCAGTCTTTCAGAAAGTTTTTTCAGTCCCTGATCCATTGTATTGATCTGAGAAATTATTTCACTATGTAAAACCTTGGTATCCAATCTTATGTTGCTGGTATTTGTATCCATCTCAGATGTGCTCGTCTTCCAGGAGTCTACCACCTTTTGAAAGGTTTTGCTAATAGTCTGAAACTTTTTAGAACGTGTCTGTTGACTATTTTCAATATACTCTATGAAGTTATGAAGGGTAGACAATTCTTGCTCAAAATTGGTTATCATGGAAACATATGAAGCAACCTCCTGCAGGACACTCGAAGATGCAAACTGCATTTTTAACACAAAACAATGTCCACCTTCACTTACTGTTTGCAAGGTATATACAATGTATTTACATTTTATCTGACTATGAACCTTTGAATGGCATGCCAAAAGCAAACTTCAAAAGGACAGAAGAGAATCAAAATAATTTAAAAACATGGAAACATGACAATATGAAGAAAAAATTATTTTAAACTAAATAATGAAACAACAAGCTAGCGCTAAATACAGAAAGGCAGATGCAGTAATAGAACAAATAGAGCTACAAAGAAGAGAATTAATAGTGTGAAGAAAGAAAAATAAAAGTTATTGTTCTTATTTTATATCATTTGATTGATTATGGCAATTACTCCCTGAAATAAACAATCATTATTTCAAAAGACAAAACTGATGAGCAGAACTCAGCTGTGTTTGGAATCATTCATGGTCCTAATCAGTTGACGATGATTTTCCAAAAAATATTCTTAAAACTATACTGAAAATTTCAGATGTTAGAATTAGATCATTCTAAATGTGCTATTAACTCAGATTTAAATTATTGTATAGTAAACTGTTCACAGTGCTCTTAGTAGAAAAAATTGGAAGAGTGAGTGCTATGTACAGTCACTTTAGTGAAAGGCAAGTTATAGATTTAACGAATAATATATTGATTCACATTGACGATAGCTAAATTCAATGGAAGTTATTTCTAAATTAGAACAGGATTGCAGGTAAATCAATTTTTTTATGTACATTTACTTTGAAAAAGAACCACTAAATCCAATGTCATTTACTTCCAAGTGGGTATAAATAGTACTACAGTCTTTGGTATATTTCACTATTTAGATTTCAACCAAACGACTGATTTGAATATTAAACTTAATTTTCAACCTAGATGTGAATTGTTAATGGTTCAATAGATTTTCCTTAAGACTGTAAAGGTCTGATGCAAAGTATCTTGCAGATTTCAGATAGTAAGAAATACCAAGTTTTATAGTAATATCTATGGTATTTGAATTATTACCTTTTCAGAGATTGTGTTAATTTTATTTTCCATATCTTGAAACTTTACAGCTTCCTCCTTTAATATGTGATATTTCTTTTCTACAGCAGCCAGCTGAACAGACTGTTGAAAAAGAAACCTGAGAAATTTAGAAAAATTAAATGTTTAGCAACAAAACATTTAAAAGTTAAATGTTGCTTCCCCGATTTTAAGATAAATTGCAATAACAATTTAACACATCTGCACAAAAGGCTATACAAGGAATTGTTTATACCCTAATATCCAACAAAAATATATAATTCAATGGAATTATGATGGTTTTACACAATCAGAAATGCTTTTGCTAGTTATAAAATAATCTGCTAATTAATAATTTGCTAATTTTGCTACAGATGCATGCCTTAATCTACAAGAGCAGGTTTTCAGAAGTGCCTAGAGAAAGAGAATTGTAGGAAAGTCTGATCAAATGTCAGCAAACAAGCTAATCCAGTCATTATTTAGATACATATTAAGTATAAATATTTTTATGAACACCTGCTTTGCTGTCAATTAACATTTAAATCTTATTTTCAAGACTAGTGATCAGCTATGAAATTTGACATAACCAGATAAACTGACACAAGGAACTCTTTAGCCAGCCTACCTGTATACATATATCACTAGATTTTTACTTCCAAGCAGTTAAAGGCCATTTCATCTAGACTTCATAATTGAATTATAAATGTAACATTTAACAAAAGTACACATTGAGGATTAATATCATGCTATGAAAAGGTTATTTAAATCTAATGTTTGTTGTTGTTGCTATGATGATAGAAAGGTATGAAATAGAGTTGACATTCCTGGGGGTACTCATAACATGAAAAACTATGTGGCATCACTAGAAAATTGATCACTGTATTTCATTGTTTCTCAATGTAAGATCATGAGCTGGGGGAAAAGAATCCTCTGCAGAGGATTGTATTGTATTGGGGATATAGTCTTAGGCAGAACAACAGAAGAAAAGGATTTAGGTGTACTCATAGTAGATGACTGCAAAATTAGCAAACAGTATGGCCAGGCAGCTGTGAAGGCAAACAAAATTCTGGGATACATCATTAGAAGGATCACTAGCAGGAAAAAGGAGGTCTTTTCCCCACGATACAGGGGTTTAGTCAGTCCACATTTGGAATACTGTGTCCAGTTCTGAAGACCTCACTTAAAAAAAGATATAAGATTGAGCGAGTCCAGAGATTGGCAACAAAAATGGTGCAAGGTATGAGGGACAAAACATATCAGGAAAAATTGGAGGACCTGAGTATGTACAGCCTGAAGGACAGAGGGAAAGGGGAGGGGGACATGATTGAAACTTTTAAATATATTAAGAATGAATAAGGTTCTTACAGGCAGTATTTTCAATACTAAGCAAAAATCAGGAACACAGGGCATAACCTCAATTTGACAGGATGGAAGTTCAAAAGTAATGTTAAAAAGTTACTTTACAGAAAGAGTAGTGGAAGCTTGGAACTAAATTCCAGCAGAGGTAGCGGTTCCAATCATCAGTAACTGAGTTTAAACACTCTTGGGATAAACACATCCATTATATGACAAAAAATTTAAAAAGAATAAAGAAAACAAAATCTCAAAGGGCAGATCAGTGGACCCTCTAGGCATTTTTCTGCCATCAGTTTTGTGTTTCTAAAAGCTGACCACCCAGCCAAAATCAAGAAATAACATTTTTGTTGTCTTTTCCCATTGACTCATTACTGCAGTCAAGAGGAGTTGATTCTTAGTGATCATGCGTATTTCACCAGAACTGTACAGTACCAGATTTTCTCTAATTTTGCTTACCATGATAGCCCTAGAATGGCAACAAGAGATAACAAACTTGAAACTGTTTGCAGATCCATCCTTGTGGATTTGGTACTCTTGAAAACTTGTTTCTTTTGTTCATCTTCGTTTGGCTTGGATATGTTTGCTTTCCTCCGCTTGACTTCGGACATGTCTTGATGTCATGCACAATTCATGCACTGAATTGAAGAAATATGTTAATCTCCTAATAGTTTTTCCTCCAAAGGAGGCTATCTACATTCCCCACACCGTGAACTTTTATCTAGAAGTAAATCCCATTTAGTTCAAATCCATTTACTTCCCACCAAATGTACTTAATGCTAAAACAATATTCCAACCGTATTCTTGAAACTTGCTTCTGTACGGCTGAGGGTTAAAACCGCAGCGTTCTTTGTATATAATGTTTTCCCTTTCCACCGCTCTCCAGTTTTCCCCTTCACACAACACACACACACACACACACTTCAGTACCTCCACGATAGAAAGTGAAAACACTTGAACTGGTAACCTTCCCAATCCTACTCCAGCCCAGCGGCCAACTCGAAGCTTTATAAGAAGATTCTTCGCTGCCGCCGATCCGAGATGGACCGCCACGTCCAACGCATGCTCGGCGATGCGCGCCCCCTCCCCTTCCGCCATCCCTCTATTCGCGGGGGCCTTGCTAGTCAATGTAGGCTGGGGGTGGGGAGGGGGAGTGACGAGTTTGAATGCGGCGCGAGCAGCCGGGAGGCGCGCGCTCGCAGGTTGTCACAGCGGTCTCTTCGTTTTTCCAGGCGCGTGCTGAGCCAGGACGGTGAGCTAGTGGCTCGCGCACGAGACGTCGGCTTTGTTTCCTGGAGCCTCGTGGCTGCCGGGCGGCGGCCTGCTCCGCTTCTACCGAACTGCCCTTCCCCGAGGAACTTTAGCCGAGGCTCGCCTCGGCTTTACCCCGCCCCTCTCGCCCTTTGCCTCCTCGATTCGCCTCGCGAAGGAGGAAGTGGCCGCTAGTTCCCGAGTTCCCAACTGAGGGGGCAACTGAGATGGGGTGAATTCAAAACTGAGAGGCTGCAAGGGCTTCATCGAGGCAGCCCCTTTCGTTTCCACGAACACTGCTTACGCTTCAGGTAACCGTGCAGCAAGCCTGAGGGCGTGGAGACGGTAGACAAGACAATGAGAGAGAAGGAGAGAGAAAATAAACAAAAGCGCGTTGAAGATGGGTTGGAGATTGCGAGGGGGCAGGGGCTGTCGAGGTCAAAAATAGTGCGGGCCAACTTTAGAAGCGGAGCGGGCAGTAGAGAATTTGCAGCAGGACGTCCCCTTTCTTTAAATAGGCAGATCGGAAAAGTCGCCCTTTGTATTTTCGGTTTTAGTTAGAGCTATTCTACATAAAGAAACGTGTTCTGTGTTGAAAAAAATCTACTCCCGTATATTTAGAAGGCAAGTGGTGGATATTGAATATTTTAAGTAGCATGAAATAGTGTAAGGGCATGTTTGAAGTGGAGGCAAGAATTTTTCACCAGATTATTCGTCCGTCGAATATTTAGCTTCTGAATGTACAAGACAGTCCTAATGAACTATAAGTGGATAATCTCCAAGTTAGTGTTTTGTTGCATCAAATTATTCTAATTTGTTGATATGCCTCTGATAGAGGCAAATTAAACCTACACAATCCTGAAAACTTACAACTCTATTCTCTAGATGTCACTTTCTCTTTTTATTGACCTAGAACAGGTTTAAGTTACGTTATTGTTGAAGAAATAAATTTTTATGTTGCATACATTTTTCAGCTAAATAGTCATATTGCAAGCAATGTAACAGTATGTGCTTTATGTGCAATATTTTGTATTTAGAGTATATGTAATTTACTTAAGTATCTTTGTAGGTCTGGTGTTTGATAATGTATATTAACGTACATGCAGTTAGATTCCAATACTTTGTGCTTAAATTTTAAAATGTTACTTTATCTTACATTTTACAGTTATATCAAATTTGAACCTTTTTATTAATCTATATTGTTTCTGTAAATCTGTTTCTTAGGCTAATTAGTATTTTCTGTTAAACATTAACTTTCAGATTGCATTTATTTCTGAACCTTGCTTCTTATGGTTATATACTTTGTATTTTATTCTTATATACATGTTTTTGTATAATTTTATTCCTTTTAACATTTTAAGTCCCTTGTAAAATGGGTGGCAAACAAATTTAATACAGAAATAATTATCTTTATTTTTCAGTTATAAATTGCATATATGTGATGTTCTAGAAAGGCAAGTATATCATTTAAAGATATCAGACTAGACTGTTTTCTTTGACTGTTTAAAGAAAATTTATAGTTGAAGTTAACTTTTATGTAATTCATTAAATAAATGCTAAAATACTTCGGTAGGAACTGCATCTAAATTAAATATTGGGTAATGCATCTTAGAAAATGTCTGAACAACTGAATAATTTGTATATAGGTAGCCCTTAATTAATGACCACAATGGAAGATAAAATTTCTGTTCTGGAGACAAAAATTCTGTTGTAATTTCTGTTGAGTTGGTAACACAGTTAATTAATCTGGCTGCCCCACTGACTTCACTTGTCAGAAGATCACAAAAGTGATCACATGACCCCAGGACATTGCAACCCTCATAAATAAATGCCAGTTACCAAGCATCTGAATTTTGATCATGTGACCATGGGGAATGGTTAAAAATGGTCATAAGTCACTTTTTTCAATAGTGTGATTTTGAAAGGTCACTAAACGAATGGTTGTAATTAAGTTATATACCAATGTCCCTAGTACACATAATTTTGGATTTATTTTTCTTATTCCTCATTCTTTATACTATGTATTAGTGCAATTGAAGAGCTTGCAGTTATATGGTATCAGTACCATTTTATAATTGAAAAATATATTTCAGGAAAATTAAATTGAACAATTCTTGGGTTCATTCTAGAGTTGATGTTAAGTAGTCATCTGCCACAATTTTTCACTGGTGACTAGGTATCAGTATTGAAGTCCAAAGGTAGCTGACAACTGTTCAATAATTTATTGTAAGTTGCAATATTAATTAATGTTAGTAATTCAAGGTTCTGTATTATCATTTTTAAAGTAGCATATAAATGATACTTGTACATTATAACTGTGAAATTTTCTGTCTTGGTTAGCTCATAGGATTACTCAGCTAAAAGGAACAGTAAACATGGACCAGAGAGCTAGAAGTTATTTGCTAATGAACCGCCAAGCTTTGGAAAGGGATATCAAGACATCTTATCTAATGGATCATATGGTTGCTGATGATACCTTGACAGTGATGGAAGAGGAGAAAGTAAAAGCTCAGGTTATTAAAGGTTTTTGTCCTTTTGTTTATGTTAGAATAGAAATATTGTTAATATATAAAGTTTTAGAACAGTGGGGCATGATGTCATACTTGAGGCCTCATGTGGCTGCACCCAGATTTTTGGTATGGACCCCAGGGATAATCTGTAACCCCTTTCACTCAAGGTTGTATGTAACTCTAGAATCATTATTGCTGTATACAAGGGACTCAGGTGACACAAGAGCAGAAAAGTACTAGTAATTATTAGTCTGTTAACGTAACAACAATTAGCAAAAGTGAAATAGCAAATAATTACAATTACATTTCTTAAAGTTGTTCTAGCTTACATTTGTGCTAATATAACAGCTTGTTGAAACCAAGTGTCAGAGTGCTTTTGGATATTTTTTGACAGAAAAAATATCAGTATTAAAAATAAAGAAGTTTAGTAACAACATTAAGTGGAATATATATGAAATTAGTTGCACATTTCAATGGGAATTAAGTGGGCATTTATATTTTTACTTTTCAGTAGGAAAATTAATCTTTTTGGAGTAGTTCTATGTATGTCTTCTCAAGAGATGTAACTGGTCTATAATTCTAATTTTTAAAAAAAGGTCATTGAGCTCACTATTATTTACTTATTGATTTGGTATACTGCTCCAATCTTAAATTGACAGTAAATAGCATTCATACCTGATGCAGTAATAGAATTAAAAACAAATAGATATAAGAACTATCTATCAAAATGTCCCAGGAATCACTAATGGTCTCCTACAATATCTCCCCTCTCCAGCAGAATTCAAAGGTTGACTCCCTGAATTAGTAAATGTAGACTAGCAGCCTCACTCTGAATCTAAGTAATTTGTTGTAACTTTATAATAATTCTTACAGTAATAAAATTAGGTTTAAGTATATAAACAAAATAAACATGTTCTGTTTGAATCAGTCATTATAATGTAGTGATCAAAGTGCTAGACTAGGATTATGGAGATCTGAGTTCATGCCTACCCTTAATCATGATGCTCATAGGGTGGTGTCTTTCGATCAGTTAGTCTCTTTCAGCCCAATTTACTTCATAGTTGCTCTGTGAGGACAAAATTAAACTGCATTCAGCTCTTCAAAAGGAATACCTTATACATTTATCAAATAAAATGCCATATCTATATTGTTATTCTTTCAATTTTCCCACTTTGAGGATTGCAATTCTTTAAAGAGAGCACTTGCTTGAGTATTTTTGACATACAATTTTTGGGGAACTAATTTCTTTTAAGACCTTATAAACAGTTGCCCATATATGAGCATTTGTATGTTCAGGTGGTGATAATATATTAATATATATTATCTGCTTAATTATTATACTGAGAACATTTCAATAATCCTATACAGATCTGTGGACATTAACCTGGAAGTACATTCCAATGAACTCAGTGAATCTTAGACTAGATATGATTTTCCCATTTGATTGCAAAAGCATTTAACTTAGCCAAGAATGTTTTCTAAAATCTAAATAGTGTAGGATTTGTCATCTTTTCTTGATTCAGTTGATGCATCAATCCAGAAAAAAATATCAAGTGCATACTGAAAGGGTTTCTTTGGCACACAACAATAAAAATTAACACAAATTAATTAAAGAAAAGAATAAAAAGAAAAGAAAACACAAAAGATAAAAATAGAAAAGAAGGAAAATTAAGAATGTACTAAAGAAAATGAAAAATACAGAAATGACTTCCATCTTCACAAGAAGTATAAACAATTTTAGTAACATCACTTTCTAGTGCATATTAAAATTGTAGAATTTTAAAGCTGAATGGTAAATAGATTGTACTAAATCTACATTTTATTCTTTTCTCTACTAGACTACTCGAAAAGAACGGGCAGCTATGCTTCTAAAATTTATTATTGCCAAAGACAATTATGCATATATATCTTTTTATAATGCTTTACAACAGGAAGGATACAAAGATCTTGCTGCTCTCCTTCAAGATGGCCTCCCTATTATTTCACCTTCAAATAAAAATAATTCTGAGGATGGTATAACTTCATATGGTTAGTTATGTTTTTTTTTTAATTTTTATATGTTGCCCCAGTCAACATAAATTAATTAACTTCCTATGTCGTGGTGTGGGTGTACTTTTTCACAGAAATAATTATTAAGAGTGAGAGGTTTGTAATATTTACCTAAAAGTGTTTCTCACTGACTCAGTCATACTTTTAAGTTAAATTTGATTGAATTATAACAAAATAAATTACAATTTCAGGAAACACTGAATTACAACATAATCTCCATTTCTAAATGATTTTTAA